TGAATGAGTCTACTTCTCTCAGCTCTAGGACCCAATCTGATGCAGACCTATGCAGGCCCTGTAAATGTTGCCTCAGTCTCTGAGTTCATATGTGCATAGAGCCTGTTGTTTAGAAGGCCTTGTTTCTTTGATGCCTCTCTCCCGTCTGGCTCTTACCCTCTTTCTACATCTGCTTCCACAGGGTTCCCTGATGCCTGATGGGAGGGATTTGATGGAGACATCCCATTTAGGGCTGAGTGTCCCAAGGTCTTTCACTCTTTCCATATTGTTTGACTGTGGGTGTCTGTATTTGTTTTCATCTGCTCCAGGAGGAAGCACCTCTGTTTATCACTGAGCAAGTCACTGATTTACAAATTTAACAGAATGTCATTAAAGTACTTTTATTGTTAAATTCCTTTATCCCTGTGCTTCTCAGCCTCTGGGGTTTTACCCTTTGGTAGTTGAGTAAACCCTTTCACAGCAGTTGCATATCAGATATGCTGCGTATCACATACTTACATTATGATTCATAACAGTAGCAAAGTTGCAGTTATGAAGTAACAATGAAAATAATTTTATGGTTGGGGGAATTATCACAAAATGAGAAACTGTATTAAAGTGTTGCAGCATTAGAAAGGTTGAGAAACACTGCTTTAGCTGAATAGAAATATTTTGTTTTCCCCTAGGTCCCTGGCCTATCTAATCTCAGGTTTTTGACCACTCAAGCAGCATTGGATACAGGTTCCATACCATGGAGTTGGCCTTGAATCTAATCAAATATTGATTGGTTACTCCCTCTAGAAGCAGCATATTTTTAGTTTCACTATTGCATCAGGCCACTTTTGTAGATCAGAAGGTTTGAGGCTGGGTTAGCATTCACCTTTCTCCTTTGGTAGCATGCAGAGTACCTTCTAGTAACATGTATATTAGTCTGTAGGGGTGAAGGCTCTAGGTAGGCACTAGCTCAATTTCTCCACGTTCAATGAGTTATGTAGGTTTTGTCTTCAGTAATATGGCCTTATCATTAGTATGGAGAGTCACCAAAAGTCTTGGCATAGTGGGTTGTTTGGGAGTTCCAATGTGTTGTTGTTAGGGTTTCTATTGCTGAGGTGGGACCCATGTCCATGACAACTCTTTTTTTTTGCATTTTTTAAAATTTATTTTTTACATTCCAATCCCAGTTCCCCCCTCTCTCCTCTCCTCCTGCTCTCCCCACTCCCTCCTCCTTCCACTCCCTCCCATCTGCTCCATAGAGAGGGTAAGGCCTCCCCTAAGAAGTCTACTAAGTCTGTCCTATCATCTCATTGAGGCAGAACCAAGGCACCTCTCCACCCCCACACCTCTGTGTCCAGGTTGAGCAAGGTATCTCTCCATATAGAATGGGCTCCACTAAGTCAGTTTGTGTGTTAATGTTAGATCTTGGACCCACTGTCGGTAGCCTTGTATATTGTCCTAGTCACACCATTGTCACCTATATTAAGGGAGTCTAGTTAAAGTCTTCTGCAGGTTCCCCATTTGTTAGACCTGAGTCAGTGATCTCTCACTAGCTCGGATCAGCTGATTCTGTGGATTTCCCCATCATGGTCTTGGTCTTGACTCCTTTGTTCATATTATTACTCCTTGCTCACTTCGATTGTACTCTAGGAGGCTGGCCATTGTGGATTTCTGCATCTGCTTCCATCTGTTTCAGGAAAAGGGTTATAGCTTCTCTGGGGTTATGGATTATAGGCTGGGTATCTTTTTCTTTGTGCCTGGTATCCACTTATGAGTGAGTACAAACTATATTTGCCTTTCTGGTTTTGAGTTATCTCACTTTGGATGTTTTTTCCTAGTTCTGTCCATTTGCCTGTGAATTTAAGGATGTCATTGTTTCTTACCACTGAGTAGTACTCCATTGTATAAATATACCACATTTTCTTTATCCAATATTCAGTTGAGGGGCATCTAGGCTGTTTCTAAGATACCTCCTTTGGGTATATGCCCAACAGTGGTGTTTCAGGGTCTTGAGGTAGGCTGATCCCTAATTTTCTGAGAAATTGCCATACTTATTTCCACAGTGAAAATGATAGAGGCCCTTAAAGAAGATATGAGAAAATCTCTTAAAGAAATAGAAGAAAAAGCAAAACACAAAAGAATATACCTTCTTCTCAACACCACATGGAACCTTCTCTAAAACTGATCACATACTTGGCAATAAAACAAACCTGTATCCCATTTTTAAAATTGGATTATTTGGTAGTTTGATTTCTAGTTTCTTGAGTTCTTTGTATATTTTGGAGATCAGCCTTCTGTCAGTAGGAAGAGAGGAAGACACTGGATTTGGCTCCAGCATTTGAAACCTCCAAGCTCACCCCCAGTGACATACTTCCTCCAAGGTGCACCTACTCCAACTAGGCCATGCCTCCTAATAATGCCACTCTCTTTGAGTTTATGGGGGCATTTTCATTCAAACCACCATACCATGGGACCCCTTTGCCTAACAACTCAATTAGAGGCAACCCATTCCCAGTATTGGAATCTTCACTTGGTGATGAGAAATGTATAGTTGGTGCTTTGTCTCCCCACTCCCTTACTTGGCATTATTTGGCAATTTCATTTAGCTTGACATCATAGATGTATATATTATAGGAAGTTTCTATTGTATTAAGTTTTCATACAACCCCTCAAATGACCCTGAGTTTTAGCTGTCCCTCCCAGTATTTTCCCCCATCCAAATCTTCCCACTCCGTCCTTGTTTGATTCTCACATTCCATAACTACCTACTCTTTTTCCTGTTCCTAGGGAGATCCACCCCTGCTACATAGTCTTGAACACCTTTTAAAAGGTTATTGGCCATTCATGTTTCTTTCTTTCTCCTCCATCCTTTTGAAAACTATCTATTCATTTTAGTTACCCACTTGTTGATTGGCAATTTTATTCTCTTGTTGTCTAATTTCTCTCATTCGTGGGTTAGCTTTGATTCTTCAGACATGTATAGCACTCCACTAGGAATACCCACAAATCTCAGGAAACTAGTAAAGGTGCTTGGGAGAGTGGGGCTTCAATAACAGAAAACTAGAATGCAGTTGTATCAAGGGTTAAAGGAGAACAATGGTACATACAGTGTTAAATAGGGAAGAGTGTGGAAGGGTAGAGTAGAGGAGGGAATGTAGAAAGGGAAAAATAAATAATGCTATAATATAATTGTATTACTTTTCACTGCATACATTGTACATCTGTCTGTTTTGCTGTGTGTGTGTGTGTGTGTGTGTGTGTGTGTGTGTGTGTGTGTCCTGCAACAGTTAGCTTGTGAAGGTCAGGTAATAATGTGTATGAATTCATTTTCTTCTTCTACCTTGTGGGTCCCAGGAACTGAACTTAGGTCATCAGGATTAGTGACAAGTAACTTTATCTAGTGTCCTCCTAATTGTGTGATTTTAAACTTGAGGAGAGATAATGTGACACAGAAGGTGAGTGCATTGACCACTAAGTCTGACCACTGAGTTCAGTCTTCATGGTGGAAAGAGAGTACTGACTCCTGCAGGTTCACTATAGACCTCCACACACATCATGGCATACAACACAGAAGCACACACAAAATAAATAAATGTAAATATCTTGTAATTCAAAGTAATCTAGATAACTACACAGAATTAGTGAATTAAACTTTTAAAGGTACACAGTAATGACAGAGTATCAAATATAATATAGTAAGATCCATTAAGACTACAAAAGATCTAAGGCATATGATGGAAAGACCAAGACACAGGATTCATGACAGGTCAGTAGTAGAATGCTTGCTCACATGCTCCAGAGACAGGATTCAGTGAACAGTGCTGAAAAACAAGATTATAATGACTTTTAATATTTGTAAGTGTACAAACATTCATATGTAAATACACATCATAACTTATCAAGGATTTTAAAACTTTGAAATATATGCCTGAACATATAAACAAGCAGTTTTTTTTTGCAGGGTGGGATGGGATTACTAGTCATGCTTCCTTGGACAACATTGTCTGTATTTTCTAAGGCTAATATGCAAAGTGCTAGAAAAAAATAAAAAATTAAGATGCAAACAAAATCAATTTCAAATTTATGCAATTTAGTGGGAATAAAACTAAACTGGGTCATTTTTCCATGCACACACAAAATGGAATTAGACACTGTGGAGCTCAAGTAACGTCAGTCCATGTGATGACTAGTTTCTACCATGAACTTGATTGTATCAAGGATGTCTAGGAGATTCCTCAAACACTTCTCTGTGTGTTTCTGTCACATTCTAGACATGGTTAGAACATGACATCTCTAACCTAATTAAATTATTTAAGCCATTAATGCATTGCATTCAAATTTTGAATAGATTATAAAGGAAGTTGCAGGCTGAATTGGAGAAAGCAAGGACTTTGGCCTTGGCAGGTGTATCCTGTCCTGGTCCCTTCCTACTATGCCCAGCTATGAGTCCTACTTGCCATGAAGTGAGTATCTCTGGTCCACTACATCCTCCCCACCACGATGAAAGCCTCTGAAATCATAAACTATACCATTGCTGCATTATACTGTTTTACTCAGGTCATAGCAGTGAGAAATCAGATAGTGCATGTCTTCCATTCACTGAGAAGAATGAAGTGACACACTCCAACTACCATCTGCCAGAACCTTGGTAGAAGAGACCACTAATCTGAAGGTTCATACGGGGGCTGTGAGGTCTGTCATACTCACTAGTATAAAGTGTTGATAACAGTAAAAGTGAGAGGAATAGAGGAAAGTGTAGCAAATATCAGTTACTTATAGAAGGATGAAGGCAGGAAAAAAAGGAAGCAAGAACCCGGAAGAAAGAAGCACCTGGGATATGGGGAAGCAGAGAACATCGCTCTATTCCCAACTGAACGACTGAAACATCTTCAGGTGATGCTGATTCCAGGCAGGTGTTAGGGACAGGCACCGCAGGGAACAGATGGTTCAGTGTCATAAGAGGTGAGAGCACAGGGGAGCAATAAGGACTCACCTGCAGCAGAACTGGGCAAGGAAGGACCCAGCCTCTAAAACTCATTACACATATTTTCGTCATGGCAACATGAAAAATCCAGTGTTATATTATAATGGATGAAAGTATTATTTAAACACCAGGAAGAACAATCCTGCTGCCCAAACAGGATATCACAACCTGCATAAGAGAAATAGCAAGGGTCAAACATAAATATTTGCTATATCAGAGTCTCACAAAATGAGGAAATTTACACACCATGACGAAATGTATGCCAGCCACACCCTGGTGACTGTAGTTATTATCCTCTATCAACCTGTAATCTGGCACGCAGTCATGCCTCCCATCCCAAAAATTACTTCCTGGAATTGTAGAGTTCAACTCCTCTCATTCCTTAATATGTCTTCCAGAAATCCCTAAGACCATGCAGAGAACCCCACATCAAAAAATTTCTTAATTTGGCAAAGAATGATGGTAAACCAGTACTGAATGGACAGGTGACTTCTCCTGAATTTACACAGGAACACAGAAGCCTACAGTCTCGGTGTTGTCCCCAGATGTGTAAAAAAGGGCTGATTCATTCTTGAGATATAAGCAGGATCACCCTAATATGTCCCAGCCTTGACACACCTTTAGACACTACTATTATGTTACATTCTTCGCCATCCTTAGCCTCACAGGTGGTTTCTCCTTTCTCACATACTCCATCAGCGTTTAACCAGCTGCACCGAAAACATGTCAGAGCTGAAAAGGCAAAACCAAGGATTCAGAGCACCCCTGAAGCCTCAGACAGGAGTTGAGCCTGTGTCTGCAGTCAATGAATAAGAAGCAATCACCAAGGAAAGAGCTGGATGTATGCTGAGCTGACCTCTAAGGTGTAGCCGATGACCTTGGAACCTAGGAGGGGAATTGAGAAGAGCCAGGTTTGTCTGGTTCAAACACTGTGAAAGACTGGGATGAGTGGAGGAAGATCAAATGTTGATGAAGGAGCTTGAGCCTAGCACCTGTGACCAGACAAGAGCTCCCTTCGAGTCATCATCTTCATCCTGTCAGGAACCTTCCTGGCATCACTTCAAATACAAATTTAGGTCTATACATGGGTAAGCTGGAAGAACTGAGCAGGTTTTTTTTATCAATAAGGAGGTGAACTACAGGACCAGGAGAAAGCACACAGGAGCAGAGGCATGACAGAGGAGGAGGAATTGGAGACGCCCATCCTGTATCCAGCAGAGGGAAGGGAAGGACAGGGATGTGAGGATATGGAGATGAAGGCTGTGGAGTCCACACAGAAAAGAAGTCAGGTCTTCCATCTTGTTCCTGAACTCCCCAAACCCAGGACCCTTTACCAGTGTGTCTGCCCACCAGCACTGGCCCCTTCCATCTGCCAGGATCTCACCTTGCACGAAGCCCACTACCAAGGAGAGGCCCAGCAGGAGCATCAGGAAGTGCTTCCCCATGGCAGTGGGATCCCAGGTTAAGAGAGCAGCAGAGAGCAAGACAGAGCACTCAAGGTCTCGTCTCTCCAATGCATGCTTATATCTGAGCTCAGGCTAGAAGAGGAAGCCAGGGGATCCCAAGCCAGTGGACTAAGTAGCTAGCCTGGGGGGGAAGCATAGGTCCTACGTGCTTCAATGTGTCTGCTGATTTCTACACCGCTACCCAGTGGTCCAAGAACTTTCAGATTCTTGCCCACATATTTATTTCACTAACTTTCAATTTGGGATTAATAACTGTGATATTCCAAGGAATTTTTAAAGTGAGTTCCTGAGGAGCCTAGAGAGTTCTACACACACTAGGCTATGACTCTTCACATGGAAGGAGATTGTCATCCTCTACATGAAGATTTTAACTTTTCTAGCTGTCTGTGAATGGGATATATGTCTAAGTATACATTCAATTGCTCAATAAATCCGTGGAACTCAAATTGTATATTCAGACTCATCTTCCATGTAGACTACAGGTATCTTCCTGTGGGAGAGTTAGAAAGACAAGGAAAACTATGTGGTCATTGAAGGATGGCATGATAGGAAAACAGGCCTTGCAATCTGGCTCTGGTTTCCCTGTCCCACCATTGAGTCAGGAAACTTAAATCACAACCGGTAACGCAGAACCACACAGAGACCATGTGTGCTGTCCAAACACCTCCCAAGCAGGTTCAGAAGCAAAAAAGCTGTGCTTGCTTAGCACCAAAAGGATGTGTAACTTTATGTTTCCTGCCTTCTGCTCTCATTCCTAAGTAGAAGCAATGCCCCACATATAAAACTACATTTGGAGCTGCCACAATCCTTTTCTAACCCATTGTAAAGACAGTGTATCAACTCCATTACTGACAGTCCTTCAAACCTACACATCCCTTCTGCAGATGCAAGGTGCACAAGTGCCCTCCTCAGTGACACTTGGTATTTTGAGGACACTACTTCAGGAGAAGTAGAGAAAAATCTCCCCATATCCGACATTATCATACTATTCAAGAAGTTAAGTCGAAATTTGATATAGACCTTATGATGACTTTTCTTAGTTGTCAACCTGACTACTTCTGGAAATAAGTAAATACCAATTGGCTGGGTACACTTGTGAGTGACTTTTCTTAATTGACTCATTTGAAGTGGGAAGGCCTGATGTTATCCTGATCTTATGAGCTGGGAAGACCACCTATAATCTAGGCCACACCTCCTGGACAGGCCTATAGGAAATGAAAGAAGCAAGCCATTGCTCTTAGCCTGCTTGCCCTCACTGTCACTGGGGAGTCCATTCCTTCACTAGCATCAGAGACTACTTCTCTGGGACTCCAGAGTATATTGAAGACCTGATGGGACATCAGACACTATTAACTGAACAACTACGGGATTCCTACACTTTCTGTTAGACTAGCTGGACCACATCCTGTAAGCCACTCTAATAAGTTCCCAGTCTATAAGTTCTGTTTCATTAGAGATCCCTGACTAATGCAGACCTCCTGGATGGCTCTGTCCCTAGGAAGCATTTTGAAATTCGTGTGAGTTCTCTTAGCTCCCACAGTCCCTTTGTTCTTGTTTGTCATTCTGTTGTCTGTCTTGAGTTTCTGCTTGCTTAACCTTCTAGATTTCCACACCCGTGATACACACTCTCCTCCTATGCTAATGCAGCTCAAGGATTTAGGCTTGCAGCCCTGTGACTATGATGGATCAGTGCCAACCAGAGTCCTCAGATGTAGCTTCTCAGCTGGAACACAGTATCAGAAAAAAATGTGACCTTCACCCCATCACTCATCCCATTGGAGAGAAATGTAGAGACAAGAAGGCTGAAAGTAAATGGCAAAATGGCCACCAACAATCAGGCTCAGACCTGACTGCTTGGAGCCTGATATGGTGACTTGTTATTCATTCTCTGAAAAATTGGAATCTAATTCCTAATGCCTCTCCCCAAATAAGCAGAATCAGGAAATAGCATGTAATGTTATAAAATGTACCACATAAAACTGTGGATACTATCTTTTATCTATTCAAATACTATACCACAGGATTAGCAATTGAATTGAGACCAAGTGACCAATTCTCTCCCCCCTCATAGTCTGGTTCCCTGTATGTATATATATTTTCATATACTTCCTGCCAATTCCATCTTTTAAAGGTTTGCACCACTGAACCTTGCTTCATTGTTTCTAGTACAATAGCACACATCACATACACCCACGTACAGATCTTCTATTTTGCTACCTGTTGATACCTAAATGCACCCTCTCCTCTGAAACACAATGACTAACAAGTCACCTGGGGGACTGAAGTTTCTATATTCCCTTCCAGAGAAAACTCACCAACTGAGTTTGTGGTTTGTGGTTTTCTTCATTCCCTATATATCCATCCAAAGGTTTCATTATTTTTTACTTCTGAAGTGTGTGGTGTGAAAGCAACTAGCCTAAATGTTCTTTTCTAGAAGAATCTGCTCTCACAAAGGCCTTTGAGGCCCAGAAGCAAATTCCTTAATCATAGGGGACATCTCCACAGATGGGGAACCAGAATCATTCTCTGGCTGTGTTCCCTTGTACAAAGGTGTGGCCAGAGAAAAGGTCACAGATTCCACTGTGATGGGTGAAGCATTGGGCCCACTGCATTCTGGTAGTAGAGCTCTTCCTACCAAGATGTCTAGAAGCCCAGTGAGCTAGATCCAACATCAGCTGCTGCTCAAGTCATGCCTGTCTGTAGCTCTGTTTGTCTGCACCCTCATAGTGATAGTGCATGTGGACCCCAGTCTGACAGACTAATTCCTTCTCCCATGGGCATCAGAGACAGCCTGACTACAGCAGGTACTGTCCCTTACTCCTCACTCACTTGGTACAGAACCTCCCTGCTACTTCTGACACTTATAAAAAGCTCCTTGCTCTCTGTCATGTATGTCTGAATTTTCCTCAGACTCTTTGCTATCCTTCTGTCTATCTGTTCATCTGTAGCATCAAGCATTCTCCCAACATCTCTCTTGCTCAACAGTACAATCTGCCACAGTGTCTCGACCCCGTCTACAGCTGATGCAACTAAGAACATTTTTAGACAGTTTATAGAGGATAGGACTAAAAAGAAGATCCTGAAAAACTATTGACACTTTTTAAAAGATCATTTCCAATTACTGATCAATTGCTTTCAAAAAGGGTGGTAGGATAGACACACAAGTAGCCCACCTTGTTACCAGAGTAGTTAGGGTTAAATGCAACATTTTCCCTGTATAGCACTATTATGTTCCTTAAAGGAAAGATTTTCAGTGTACACAATTGGTGGACATTAGATAACAACTTCAAGAGAATAATGCAAACAGGGCAGTATTCAAAATCCAATTCTGCAGAAAGGATCCCTCCCGTAGAGATTGGGCAAAGATGGCTGCTGTCATGGTGATTTGTCCCATACAGTGGTTTTAAAATCATCTGGTCAGAAGAAATTCCTGTCCTCTCCTATAGGTGAGAACTGCACCCTCCCAAGCTTGCCAACTCATTGGCTTAAAACACAAAACAGCATCCAATGAACAGCTGGAGCTGAGGTTAGCCACTTTCTCTCATCCTGGGCTCAGTCACATGACTCAGTTCTGAGACAAGCAAGTTCAGCCACCACCTCAGGTAGGGAAAGGTCTAGTGTATCCTATAACTACACTGAAAATACACAGAGTAATCTATTTCTTACACTGTGAGCCCTAGACTGTCAAAACATTCCATTTGGAAAATGGGTAAAGCTAATCAATACAATAATGAGAAGAAAATGTTTACAGTGGGGCTGGAGACATGGCTCAGTTATTAAGAACACTAGGTGGTCTTCCTGAGGTCCTGAGTTCAATTCCTATCAACTAGATGATGGCTCACAACTATCTGAAATGCGATCTATCACCCTCTTCTTGCCTGCAGGTTACATGTGGACAGAACATTGTATAATAATATGTAAATAAAGTCACTTTTAAAGGCTTGATATTTCACAACATTAAGAAAAAATAAGAAAGTTTACAACTAGTGCAAAGGAAGACATGAAATAATTCTGCCTCATTCTACAAGGAAAATGACAAATCATGTAAGATGTTGCAAAATTGTATCTCATTTCAAAATATTTTTTACTTACTTGTTAACATTTCCTTCATGTATACAATGTATCTCCATCCTATTAACACACAGCTGCTCCACTCACTCCTCCTGAGATTCCCCAAGTGACCTCCTCCCCAGGTTTGCAACCTCAGCTGAGGTAAGTTCATGAGCTCCATGGCCATGAGAGACAGATGATAGTGTCTCACAACACCCCTCCCCATCCTATGGCTCCTACAGTATTCCTCCCTCTCTTACACAATGTCCCCATGCTTGGGAAGGTTGACACAGAATTCTCAATTAGCACGGAGCACTCAGTGGTCATCTGCCCGCTTGTGAGTCACTGTATTAACTGAGGTCCTCTGCAGAAAAGGCTTTCTGTCCAGTGCCAAATGCAGAACAATTCTATGTAAATAATCACTAATAGTTGGAAGGCAGCTTTACCAAGTGTTCACTTAACAAAACAACACCCTTGCCTATGGCCTCCTAAGATATGAAATTTTGACCAAGTTAGAGCAACAGTCCTAGCATCCCTTCTGGCAGCAAGCTTCAGTTCTCATCAGAAAGCAGTTCAGTCCCCATAGAACATAGTGCCACTATGTCAAAAATAGGTACATTTTGCCAACATATTTGGCATTTTAGCATGTATAATTGACAGCTGGGTCACACCCTGATGACTTTCCTTCTCCAATAGCATAAATAGCACCTCGAAGTATATTGGCTATTTTAAATAAGTAAGAGATCCTTGGCCCAACCTTTAGTGATATACAAAAATTGACTCAAATATGTCTGAGAATGCAGTATGTAACTTGAAGATGAAAAATAAATGAAATGAATACCTTTAGTTTAAAAATATTTTGTTTAGTATTTTATGTGTATGGTTTGTTTATTTTGCTTGTGTGTCTCTGTGCCACATGTATGCTTGGT